GCTGATCCTGCCTCTGAGTTGCCCACTGGATGAGTAGTGTGGGGTGGTGACCAGGGATGGCCAGCATCTGGGGCTGCTTCTGCTGGATTGGCTGCTGCAGGACAGCACCAGGTTTGAGGTAACTGGGAGCTCAGAGGGAACCAGTTCACTGTAATGACCCTGAGGAGTCCCCATGGCTGTGCCCATAGTGCTGTTTGAGCTGGCAGAGAAGCTCAGTTTTTCTTTTTCCAAGCATTCCTTGCAGGAGGGGAAGAGCAGATGAGCTGGCTAAGAGCAAGGGTGGACCAGGGACCCCAGTGTGGGATTGTCCCCTGGTGCTGTGACTTGGCTGTGGACCATGACTGATGTTTTGCATCTGCAGGTACCAGCACGTCCCCAGGAAGCAGCCTCAACTGCAGTGAGGAGAACCTCAACACCCCCACCAACGTTTACCCCCCCAAAGGTGAGGCTGAAGGTCTGAGCCCCCCTGACTCAGGGGGCTGCCAAGGGGCCCCTGCAGGGCTTGGAGGTGGGAATGAGCCCTGGGGTCCTGTCTGGATCCTGGTAGAGGTATGAATTTTAGTTGGGATCTTTCCAGTCAAGGCTGGACTGGGCTATGGGGTCTGTTTGGGAGGGTCACAGCAAGGGGGTCTGTCCCTGACCTGGGAATTTCAGGATTGTACAGGGATGCGATGGCCCAGGGATGGTGAGCACAAGTGTGGGCTGTGATCCCACGGGGAGGAATCGACCCAGAGGGACATGGGGGGTGTGGGCATGTTTGGCTGAGCTGCCCCTGCGTCCCCCTCCCTGCTGCTGGGCAGGTGGTGCAGAAGCAGCTGGAGTAGTTGTGGTTGGAAACAAGGGGCAGAGATCTTTTGTGTCCCAGAGCAGAGCTGGGAAGGGGAATGGGGGAGACCTGATGGTGTGTTTCTCTCCGTTAGCAAAGCTTGGGGACACGCAGGAGCTGGAAGAGTTCATTGCAGACCTGGATAAAGCGCTGGAGGGTACGTAGGCAGCTGTGGTCCCAGTGCTTCCTGAGCCCTGGGCATGGCAGGATGCCTGGACTGGGGCTTCTGCACAGCCTCTGGCTCTGAAAGGGTCCCTGGGTGACAGGCTGGAGGCAGAGAGAGCTCGATTTAAAAAAAATAATTGTGTATTTCCCCTTAAGCAGAGGGGAAGTGCGTAGGTCACAGTTCCCTGTATCTGTTCCCTTCCAAGTGCCCACGAGGGGGCTGGTGGGAAGCTGGTGGGAAGCTGCTTCTGCTGGCAGCGAGGCAGGAGGGGGACCAGAGCCCCCTGAGCAGATTTTTCCTGCTGTTGGTGGTGTCTGGGGGGGTCTGGTGTGCCGTGCAGCTCTCCTCAGCTGCTGAGCTGGAGCTGGAGACAGGCTGAGAGAGTTGGGGTTGTTCAGCCTGGAGAAGAGAAGGCTCCAGGGAGAGCCTTGGACAAGGGCAGGGAGTGATAAGACAAGAGGTAATGGTTTTAAGCTGAGAGAGGGGAGGTTTAGATCAGGTATTGGGAAAAAATTCTTTCCTGAGGGTAGTGACATCCTGGTACAGGTTGCCCAGAGAAGCTGTAGAAGCCCCATCCCTGGATTGCTAGGTTGGATGGGGCTTGGGACAACCTGGTCTAGTGGGAGGTGTCCCTGCCCATGCAGGGATTGGCACTAGGTGGTATTTAAGGTCTCTTGCAAACAGATCTGTGATTCTATAGTCTTTTTCCCTCCTTGATTGTCCTGCAGAGATGTGAGATGTGGTTCTGGCAGCCAGTGTGGAGAGCAGGACCCACAGCAGATGCCTCCCTGATGCACCTTCTGCTTCCACCCCAGGCCCTCCCTCACCGGGGGGGCTGGCAGCGATTGATGGGTTGGGGGGGGGGGGGGGTGTTTCTATGTCACTGCTGAAGCCAGAGGAGAAACCCTGGGTGATTGTAGGGAAGCTCTGCTTGCAGCACATCCCTGAGAGCTCAGTGTCTCCTCTGGGGTCAGGAAAGCTTGTTCCCATGCTTTGCTTTGCAGGGGTAGCCCCAAATAAGGCCCCTGCCTGCCCCCCCCCCCAGGTGCCTGTGCCCTGGCTGCTGCTGCTGTAAATACTGTAAAAAGGCTGGTTTGTGCTGTACAGACAGGATGTATTTTTATTAACAGGATTTGAAATCTCTATGCATGTCTGTGTGTCCTGGGGGCTCCTTTCCTCCCTGTGGGGAGCAGGCACGTCCTGTCCTGCCCTGCCCTGCCCTGGGGGGCATCGGGAGGGGCCTCGGGGAAGCAAATGAAGCAGTTTGTGTGCTGGGGGGAGGCAGGGGGTTCCCTGCTCCTCGGGAGCTGCAGGGTGGGCAAATGGCCCTGGAAGCTGCTGGGACGTCCCATCCCTATTCCCCATCCCGCTCAGGAAGGAGGGCAGGGGGGTGTTGGAGTCTTCTGAGCAGCCCCCCGGAGCTGCGTGACATGGCTGGTGATCTGCCCCCCAAAAG